CCCTTTTGAGTTGTTTGCCGCCCTGAGTCCCTCCCGGAGAAGGGCGGCATACAAATAAACTAAATCTTAATCTTAATCTAATAAATGATTTCTAGCAGTATATCATATCAGAAGCAAACAGCAAATATTGGTTTAATGAGTAACAATTATATAGTAGTATAAGTAATTCATTGTAAAAGTAAATAGTCAATATTAGTTTGATTCATATACTCCTTTATTCCCCCACCCCCTTTTTATTTTTGGACAGGTTACTTCCTGTCAATGATGAAGTAGGGGAGCATATTCTTTGGGTATGGTGTTAAGAACCATGATATTAGCTGGGCGACCACAGGTGGTAAAGGTCACGAAGGAAGGAGACAGTCATCCTAGTGAAGGGAGATGTAACCATAAACTGGATTAGGGGGATGAAACAGGAGGAGAAGGAGACCCACAAAGGTTAAGAACACTAGAAATCCAATCCTTTTCCAGTCAGAGAAGATACTGCCAAACCAGTAGAAGTCAACTTTCCCAGTCCAAATCTGCACTGGGACGTGGATAGCTTTTCCCATCCTGGCAGTAATCTCCTCTATAGGTTTTTCTGGACTATTTGCAAACAATAATTTGTGAGATCACATTTTCCATACACATCTCCTTCTGTTGGTAACAAAAGGTGTAAAGCAAGTCTATTCGGATAAAGTGTTGGTTTAAACTGAGTCTGCTATTTAGCCATTAAAGTTAAAGCAACAGCAGTTTTATTAATTATTATTTCAAGCACAGCCTGTAACCTTATAAGTCTATTCAACATATAAATGGGCTTCCCTAGCAGCCATCCACTTTGTCTCCCCACAGAGCAGCTCTCCCCGCAACCACCCAGCAGCAAAGCCCACAGGAAAGAGAGAGAAAGAGACTCTGCCAGTCCCATGATCCTTAGGGGAAACACATCTGATTGGCTGGCAGTTGCTCCCCCCCCTCCAGCTGGGATATCCTGTTCAGACCAGGCCCTAGGAAATGCACTTTAACAAAGACAACAATAGGTAATGAAACCCAGCTGTTTCATCACAAATATATAAGAACAATTAGCGGGCTTTCAAAAATTCAGTTAATAGCTCATTTTTTAATTGACCCCATTAAAAAACAAATTTCCCTTCACTGCTTTAAGTTCATCAAGCCAGGTAGGTAGGGAGGGAGGGAGAGAGAATAGTTAGGTAGGTAGGTAGATAAAGGGATAGAGAGGGGGAGAGAGAGAGAGAGAGAGAGAGAGAGATACAGTAGGTTGGTAGGCAGAGGGAGGAAGGGAGGGAGGGAGAGAAAGAGAGATAGAGAAACACAGTAGGTAGTGTGGGAAGTTATCATCCATCCGTCACTGCTTTAAGTTCATCAAGCCAGCATAACATACCGTAACACAACACGTAAGGACGCTTTCTATCGTAGACCGGTAAAGGGAAGTCATCAGTNAAAAATGCAAGTAGAAAAATAGGAACCACCTTTGGTGGGAAGGTAACAGCGTTCCATGCACCCTTGACATTTAGTCATGCTGGCCACATGGCCACGGAGACATCTTCAGACAGCGCTGGCTCTTTGGCTTTGAAACAGAGATGAGCACTGCCCCCTAGTCGGGAACAACTAGCGCATATGTGCGAGGCGAACCTTTACCTTTACTAGGAGGATTAGTCTTTCCCTTTCTTGTTGTGGTTCCAATGTAAATTCACTCCATGGCTTAAATTTGCCTACCAAAGGAAGTTCACATTTATGCCCCATGGAAGAGTGCTTTCTAAACAAATTCCAAATATTATTTTAAACAAACTACATCATAGGAAGGAAGAATTAGATCACCATATATTGTGCTACCATTCTGGAATAGGTGCCGCTGCTATTAAAATTGCATAAAAGCATGATTAAACCAGGGGTGAAATGCTACCGGTTCGGACCGGTTCACCGGTAGGAAAGCAGGATTTCCTACTTTCTAGCTAATCTAAATCACATGGCACAGCAGTTCCCCCCTCCCCCTCGCTGTTCTACTCACCTTTGCAGGCACACTCGGTAGCAGACTCCGCCCACCCACTCGGACGTTATCACGTCCATTTTTGACGCTCTGCGCATGCATGGAAGGTCCTGCGTGCACGCTCACATTTGCGAACCAGTACCGAAGGTAAGTAGATTTCAACCCTGGTTTAAACTCAATGTTATAGTACACTAGTGGGTTAAACCCAAGCGCTACATAGATTTACACGCCCACTCCAAAGGCTTTCTCCTTCCCCGCATTCAATTGCACGTTGTCTTTCAGCTCTGATGCGGCATCATTCTGCCTGCTTTAAACTGATTGAGAAGTGTGAATGAACAAAGGAACCATGGCAGACATCCGTGACCTAATGTCTCGCCGATCAAACCCAAAATCTGGCAGGTTGGCTGTTCTGAAAGGCCTAGGTGACTATGCGATGAGTCGTTTGTCGGGAGACAGCTGATGGATCTCATTACAGACCGCACACACACCCATCATGGATTGTGTAAGCAATGTCAGTGTATTATTTATATCCCTTTATTATGCCTCAAACTCCCATGGTGCCCCTGGAGAAAAACAGGTGCAAAGTTATCCGGGCGACAATGACCAGGAATGTTCTCTCTGCTTTGGAAGCCAAGACAAGAATTGATCAGAGAAACATAAAGCCAGCTCCCTGAAATACAAACAGGCTAGAACAAAAATTTCAGACTTAGATCCGCAGGAATAAAATAACTCACGTGGCTCCGGACAGCATCTGTGGGCAGGAAAGCCAAAAGAACTGATAGGAACTCCACCACAAGTCCATAATCTGATATCACTTAGAGAAGAATCAACCTGCAACAATTTTGAAGAACTGGAGCTGAACTCTCTAAATCAACATAGTGCCTGTATTCGCAGTTCAATGACAAGATAAAATGGCTAGGGGTTCTCCTGGAGTCTGCTATATGCATGGACCTGTGCTGAATATCGTATTTTTCAGAGTATAAGACGCACCAAGATTTTGAAGAGGTAAATTTTTTAAAAAAGTTTTGGCACTCTGCAGGCCTCTCAAACCCTCTGCATACCTTTTGTGAAGAATGAGGCATGCAGAGAGTTTGAGAGGCCTGCAAAGTGCTCCTGGGAGCTGGGGGGGACAAAAATGAGCAAAGAAATGGTCTATTTTTGCACACACATGATTGCGTATCATCTGACCCATCTACTGTGATCATTAAGTTTGCAGATGATACCACCGTATTAGGTCTTATTATAGGTGGAGACAAAACAGCGTATAGCGGGGAGGTTCAAAAACTATACACATAAGGCTTACAAAACAACCTGCACCTACATATCAGCAAGACCAAGGAGATGGTGTTAGACCTCCAGAAGAAGAGAGAGGAACCTGCCTCACTTTACATCGAGGGGGGCTTCTGGAGATAGTTTCTTCCTTTAAATTCCTAGGAGTCTATCTCAGCGAAGATCTCACCTGGAAAATCAACATGACCCAAGTGGCCAAAAAGGCTCAACCTCCAGAAGAAGAGAGAGTCATTTCTTCCTACCTCCGGTTCTCCGAACGGCTTAGAAAGTTAACAACTGGTTCTCCCGAATAGGTATGAACTGGCTGAATCCCACCACTGGTCCTGGCCCTATCAAAAATCTCCTTTTTAAAGGATGTTTTTCTTTCTACTTTTATGACAGGCATTCTGAACAATTGCAGCTTCCATGTCCAGCAGTCACCCAGAGTCAATACTGACTCAAAGGCATCAAAAAAGGCAAAGCAAAAACGATCAACTCAGATTATGAAAATTAAAATACTTCTTCTTTCTGTGACTAAAAATGCCTGAAAAGATGACACATTCCATTAGATTTTTTAAATTAATGATGATTTGTTTTTTTTTAATTATAAATGTACCAGGTGCTTGAAGTTAAAGATTAATGCTTTAATGGAATGCCACCTTGGAACACAGTTAGCCTATTGTATTTTTTTCCATTAGCCGTCCCAATTAAGTTTGGCAATTATATCTGCTTTGAGAAAGGCATAAACAGTAACAAGGGAAAATGGCCCCAGATACTGTAGTGTTATAAAGTGATACTTCCTTTACAGGTGATGAATCTCAAACAGATTTTTTTTCTTTTTGAAAGGAAATATGGAGTGCTCCTCCTCCTCCTTCTTCTGCAGTCATGGAACCGAATCAATTAACCTTTGGCAACATCTCCTGGAGTGGTCCACTTCATAAATCTTCTCTTTCCAAAGCCAAGGTATTACATGCCTTTACTTTCACATTGTTCCTGGCAAGAAAAAAGAAAAAAGGCAGGCATTGTTGAGAGTGCAGGCTCAGGTGTGAGCGTGTGTGTCCCATCTGGAACATCTGCTGCTGAATCCATGACTACTTGAGAAAAAGCTGCGGGAAGAAAGTCAGGGTAATAAGCAATGATGCTTCCTCTCCCCAAATATTAGGCACTAATGCTTCCAGTTCCTTGTCCCTGAGAGGGGAAAAAATTAAATTTGATATTAAAACATCTAGATTGTGCGTGGCAATGCTGTTGTCTTCTCCGGTCTGTTCTCATAACCAAGGATCTGGGGAAACTACAAAGCAGTATTTCTCAACCTTGGCAACTTGAAGATGTCCGGATTTCAACTCCCAGAATTCCCCAGCCCCCCTTCGCTGGCTNGCTGGGAAGTTTGCAAGTCTTCCACGGGATATGCAGATGAACCATGAGTTTCCCTTGGCCTCTTCTATGGATCTGTTGAGCAGCAAACCCGTTTTGGCGGATGAGCTTCATTCCGGAACCCATCAAGATATTTCTATCCATGGTACCCTTCCGAGAAAAAAAAAGGGAGCCCTTCTTCTTGGGTCATGTGATGTCTTCAACAACATGAGAATGTTGCCATACACCCAAACAAATCAGTCTCCAGGAGGTTTAATTCAAGGTGTCACTGAAGAGTATCCCCAGAAAAACAGGAAAAGTGACAGCCGTCCACACAGGTAAATTGTGTTAAGTTTAAACCTATTGTGAAGGCGACTCTATTTTATTACATTTACAATAATACTTAAGAAAATCTCTCCTCCTCCCTACCCTTGTAGGTAGAAATCTCAATACAGCTATAACAATGTAGTTACAAAATGGATGTGTATGTGTGTGTGTGTGTGTGTGTGTGTGTGTGTGTGTGTGTATGTATATGTATATGTTGTGGGGTCAGAACATGCATACACACACATACATACACACACACGTACGTATATGTATATGTGTTTGTATGTGTATGTGTGTGTATGTATGTATACATACATACATACATGCATGCATACATACATACATATATATGTGTAGTATTTGTGCTGATAAATAAATAAATATTACACAAATGTAACAAAAGGCAACAGTAAAATATAGGAAAATCCGGCACTGAGTGGCGGGGCTACAAAATAGACAAAGTAACACAAAATGAAGAAGCGAAAGTACACGTTAAGACTTTTGGAATTCAAACCGAAAAGTATCTGCCTCGCAAGACCCTAGACATAACAATTGTTGATAAAAAAATACCAAAAAAGTCTGGATAGTGGACGACGTGGCAGTACCTGAAGATGGTTAGAAGAGTGAGAGAACTGGAGAAAATCACACAATGTAAAGACCTAAAAATAGAAGTAGAACAACTGTGGCAATGCAGGTCATCCTCGACGTGCAACAGTTCATTTAGCGACAGTTCAAAGTTGCAATGGCACTGAAAAAAGCGACATGACAATTTTTTCCGCACTTATTGCAGCATCCTCATGGCCATATGATTAAAAATTCAGCTGCTTGGCCCGCTGGCTATATTTATGATGTTGCAGTGTCAATGATCACACAATGGTCCATCTGACAAGCAAAGTCCATAGAGCAGTGGCTCTCAACCTTCCCAATGTCGCGACCCTTTAATACAGTTCCTCATGGTGTGGTGACCTCCCCCCTTTTGCGACCTTCTGCAAGTAAAGTAAATGGGGAAGCCAGATTCACTTAACAACCGTGTTAGTAACTTAACAAATGCAGTGAATGAGGACCCGGATTGTTGTTGGGGGCGATATGCTGACTCTGTAAACCGCTTAGAGAGGGCTGAAAGCCCTATGAAGCGGTATATAAGTCTAACTGCAATTGCTATTGCTACTTTAAAAGAGGAAAATAAACTCAAATGCAGAAATATTAACTAGATTGGGGGAGAATACCTATCTTGGCAGCCATATATGTGAATCAACATGTCATGCAACTTCCAAAAAAAAAACCTGATGCAATTTTAGTTGCAACTGTAGAATCTGAGTTTCTG